GCAAGACAGGCAAAGAGACGAGAGAAAGGAATGAGCTGTTCCAGAAAGTCCGCATAACCCTCCTAAAAATATTAGTTAGTTCATTAGAAATGGTTTTTTTCAATTTCACGTGTATTAAAGAAAATTAGGATACGTATTCCACTCAACGCTCGTCCAATCAGATTGGCTTGACGCCAAGAAGTGTGTTTACACCTTCGCTGCTTTCTATTAATACAATTGAAGCTGATCTTCCTATCATTACCGGATTATTATTGAAGACCAGAACCAAACAGATCTTAAATCGCTAGAATTAGTTCACTCGATGCGAAAAAAATGCTGTGCAAACTAAGTTGAGATTTGCTACACCATGCCATAGTGAAATGTAAATGAGACACATCGATCTTATCCAAATTAGACTCTTAATCAAGCGTAGGCCAAGAGAATGCCAAAATGCACTTCATTACTGCCCAAATTTCCAAATGTGCGTCAAATTAAAATGGAATTTTTCTGTGCTGATATTTTCATTCAAGTTGGGGGTAATTTAATCATATAGGTAGCCAACGTAAAGTGAGGTATTGAGTTGATTTATATAATATATTTTTAAAAAAACCAAAAAATAGGAAAATTATTATTACTCTTATATCTAGCGTTAATTACAGTAACCATTTGCTACATATAAAGATATAAGGTTTACAGCAAAAAATTTGTCTCACATGTCGTGCATTTTCTAGTTACCTTCACTTTTAATGCAAAATATTCAAGGTGATTTGTTTAAATCATTTGCTATAAGTGTGGATAAATTAAAACGCCTGTTATCAGTCCAAAAATGCAAAAGTGGCTTGATGACCCTACTCTACAAGGCTTTATTGACATATAAGTGCCTTTAAGTAATTAACTAGGATTAATGATAGGATTAGTGATAATGATCGTCTGGACCTCGTCATCTAATCGCCTGGACCAGACAAAGACGTAGCATTCCGATTTAGAGGGAGAGGAGGGGGGGGGGGAGGAGGGGGAGATAGTGAAAATCAAGCCAGCTAGAAAACAAATCGCCACATGGTACGGTATGAGTGAGCTTGATCAGTACCCCCCCCCCGTTAATTAAAGTTGGTTTATCAGTAGATTGACCTATATTCTTTGCCTCTACTACAACTAAGCATTGCAACACACTTAAGACAACTGAGAATAAGATCATCCTATTACTCTCCCGTCTTTAAAATTTAGGCTCAAGGGAGCCGGCAATTTCTTTATAGAGAAAGAAGAGAACGCCCACACAAGTCGGTTGGATGCTAAACGAAACATATTTATGACCTTGAAATGTGCAAACGGGCCAATAACATAAGCAGGAGGGAAATATAGGAGTCACAGAAATTAAAAGCTTTCTCCCTAAAGGGAAAGTGCTTTTCTGCCTTGATAGGCCCAATTGGCCAGTCAATTAAAGTAATTAGTGTCCAAAATTCAAGCATAGAGACAATAGACTCCCGAGGACAAATTGGGAGTACGTATTACTTGTTTAACACTGGTCAGACAATTTATCCCCTCTCGTTAACAGTAAACGAACCAAAACATTCAGCTTTCCTTTAAGAAAAAGAAATGGATCAGGTCACTAGTATTTCGGCGGGGGTCACCATATAAATCGGGTGGTCGAACCTCGTGGTTTCAAGGTGAAATTCTCAGCGAATTGCGAACCCCGTCTTCCCACATTTAGCGTTGTCGAGGCTGCTTTTAATAACCGCCTCATCTCTGTATGTTATTGATTAATGAATAAAAATTGCTTTAGCTACTGTTCCAATAGTTATAAGAAAGAAATAGAAATGGGTTAACCCCCCCCCCCCAGGCCCCAATGACAAGTTTTTTATGGCATTCGTTTTTGGAAAGGATTTGCCATTATTGAAATTGTTGACTCCGATAATTTCTACTGATATCGATCTCTGTTGTGGTTTACCACTAATACACAGAGCCCTATGGGTTGTTAGACCGAAACTCATCACAATTTTCGGAAGGTATGTGATGAGTGTCTCGCATTTGAGAAGAGACCCCTGAATGGGCATTTCCCCAGTTCAAAATAAATCTTTTTCTAAGACTCATTACAACAGCAACTTAACTTCATTAAAATGGAGTGGTTTCCGATTCCAAATGGCAACTTTTCTTACTTCACTCATGACCTTGAAGGTTGCGCTTCATTCAAAAGCAGGTGTGACGGCCACTCCATGACGTAAGCTATTTTTTAGAATTCAACTCCCAACTGTCGTACACACTGAAATCGATCGCTTGCACTCCCAGACTGTCTGCTTTTTCTCAACAAGTGCAATTTTCTTCCTATTTATACAACCATGCACACCCTTGCCCTGTTCGTTATGTCTACTGCAACCACACATGACCACCACCCCCCACCCCACCCCGCTCCCCTCCTACAAGTCCCAGTTCTCAAGACATATAATGCACTTCATTGTCTCGTATTCGTTCTCAACCTTGTTGAAATAATGAAATTAGGTAGCAAGGGGGGAAACCAGAAACTTCAGCTGCTTATCAGCCTTCTACAACATTTGTCCCCAGGATCATCGAGTTCTTCTACAAACTCCAAGTGTGCGTTTACAATTGAATCGATAAAGAAAAAAAAACTTGCATAGTCACAGGTGGATTGTAGAGCTTTGAGCAGACAACTGACAGTATCGTCAAACTCAGAAGTGAGAAGTTGAGAATAAAGGAGATGACGATGCAGACTTTGACGTTGTTTGAGAACCAACACCACAATGTGGCAGGCCCAGGTGTTCACTCGTGTGCCATTTAAAGGGAGACTGTGTTGGGTCAAAGGTTGAAGGACCTGAATAGAGAAGTAAGGAGAAGAAGATGAAGTCAGTAAAACACGTAGACACCTTTACGTTTGTTCGAAAAGAATAAATATTGATTTCATGACAGTTAACGCTATTCTCCTTTTATTTTTCATTTGATGGATCTCTAAACTATGCTAGACTGAGTAGGAATTTTTCTGATGACTGAAGAATAACGGAGTCTAACGGAGTGTACTTGACTGTGAAGTTTTTGACTTAGCCAAAATGACCACATAAAAGTCAGCACAAAACATATATTGATTGATAGAAGGGGGTGTGCGAGAGACTTGCCTCCATGTGGTGTAACCTGGGCAACGTATGCCCATACGCCAAAAAGATTTATAAACTGGTAGTAGACTTTTCACTTCAAATTACCTTCACCCGACTGTATGTCATAGTCCACCACTTCCCACAGTACTCACCTCACCTTAGCTCTTTCGCTACCTTTGCGTCTGTCTGCCTATTTTACACATGTGAATCACTCTTCTGCTCCCCCCCCCTCTAGGCATTTTCTGACATTGTGATCCTCCGCTCAACCATAGGTCATAAATCCTGACATTTGATAGAGATAAATACTAATCGATAGGCGTTATTGGCATAAGAATGAAGCTAAATTAATAACCAAATTATGCGACTAAAAAAAGGCTTAAAGACTGACAATTAACTCGCTCTCTCCCCCTCTATTCTAATTGGGTAAAAAGGGACAAGAATGCCCTGAGTGTGACATCGTGTCAATCAATAGAGGAACAACTTAAACACGTGATGAAATAAAAAAACATCAGAAGTTCTGTTGAACAAAACTGCTGCTTCCAAGTCCAATTAGGAAGGGAGCAGCAAATAGGGGGGAGAATAATATTTCCCAACACCCTAATTAGACATATCTGCCATTGGGATTGGCCGTTCTCTTTACTAGGTGTCACTGGTTGAAAACGAGTCAATGACCGCACGCACGCACGCACACACACACACACGAGACCCAAATTAAAAATATTAACAGAAGCAAAAGCGTAGATTATTACCAACAAGGAGATCTGATCATCACTTAGATCAAGTCCATCCGATCTCGCTATCTCATTTCCAAATCGATCTCGGGCCACAATCGCTCTAGATGGTCCAGCAACAGGATTACCCCCGTCTTCCTCTTTCTTTGTTTCTCCTTTGAATGTAGAACAACATCTCCAGAATAGAACTCCCCTCAAAAGTCCCACCAAGAGGCACATATTTCTATCCGCAGTTCCAGAGAGTCCAAAAGCCCCGTCGGGTGAACAGACACCCAGAGCATCCATCCCTATAAACTCGTCTTCACTCGACGACTCACCACAACTGTCATTAATTTGTCCATCGCCTCGATGGCTACCATCTGCACTGTTCTGAGGTTCTACACTCTCAGCACAATCTCGAGGATAGTAGTAAAGATGATCACTGCGGACTTCCTTACGATTCCGACTACGGAAGAGACCGTCGAGAGTGCGTGAGCCACTTCTATACTGAGCAAGATGACAGCGAGAGTAGGGCTGGGAGAGATGTGAATAGATGGAGATGAGAGAGAGCGGATGCGACTCCGATTTCACTGCAATGGCAAATAGAAAAAAAAGACCTTGAATTACTAGTTCAGCACCGTTAGAATACCAACTCAATTATTTTCACTGCAAGCAATCGAAACTCATAAACTTTATCTTTACTGGATAATCAATTATTGATGTCCATGCTCGAACTTGAATAAGTAAGCACGGCATCTATGCAATTACTAACTGACGTGGTGGTCAATCATTTATCAAGCTTCCTATTTCGCATTAAGCAATCGTAATTTCTTAATAAGCAAATAGTCTTTGAAAAATATGTTGACAACCATTTTTTTCCAGAGGTGGTGTCAGTTTTAGAATTTGTATAAATAGGCAGCTGAGCATTTACAAAATGCATTAATTACGGTACCTGGGGGTGAGGGATAGACTTACCTCCATATGGTGCACCCTGAGTAGCGTATACCTCATGCAGAAAAAAAGTCCATAAACGGGCAATTGGCTTTTGACTTCAAACTACCATGATTCGACTATATGACATATTTGACCACTTCCACAGTGCTCATCTTACCCTTTTCTTCTACACTTGTGTCTGTGAACCACTCTTCAGCCCCCCCCCCCCCCCACGCCTCGACATTTTGGGACTCTGATGTTCCTCCCCTCCGTGAAGCCCTAAGTTAACTAAAGGGCTAATTACAATTATCATAAAGACTGCCATTTGATAGAAATACATTTGCTAAATTAATTACAATACCTTGACACTTGGAGGAGCAACTAATTCCCTATTAGTAATCCACTCCTTCAAAGTTCGTAGCACTTAGCATCTCTCAATGAGAAACGATGAATCTGAAACAGTACACCTTTACTCTCCACATTAACTCCTTCATTCAGGGGTGTGTAATAGACTTATCTCCACATGGTGCACCCTGGGCAACATATACTAATACGGCAAAAAAGTCTATTAACCGGCAGTTGAATTCTGACTTCAAACTACCATCACCCCACTGTATGTCATATTCGACCCCTACCACAGTACTCATCTTACCCTTTCTCTGCCTTTGTGTCTGTCTGCCTCTTTTACATCGTGAATCGCTCCTCTGTCCCCCTCTCGACTTTTAGTCACTTTGATGCTCCTCTTCCTCACTGTGAAGCCCGAATTCAGCTAAAGGGCTAATGATAACCATCAAAATGCTTACCATTTGAAAAAAAACTCCCTCGTTCATTATGACGGGAACAAAGAACTTCAGACGATAAGTGAGAAGAACATAACACTTTGTGGACCATTAGCTCACATTTTCAGGTCAACAAAGGTCATACTGAGGTGGGAAAAAAGACACTTGAACGAGTATTTCAATTCATAAACAAGTTTTCCTTAGCATAAAAGAGTATCTACAAACTGTAGTAACAATGGAACAAAAAGTTGTGACAGGAAGCTGATCGCACGATGTCTCATATATATATTATTTAAAAATTAAATAAAACACTTTAATACTATTTTCACAATTCGCTATTTCCTATTGACACCCTCCTTATATAAAATCGGATAAATTCGAAATTTCGATCAAATACTAGTTGACATTAGTAGGACATATATTTTCGCTTGGGGGAAATTGGTCGGCAGAAATTTCAACCAATAAAAAAATTAGATCCAATGTGGTTTAATTTTTGAATTCTCGTTGTACAAGAATGCTAAGTGGTTTATTCGTGTTCCAGAATTTTGACTACGCAATTACTTGCCTGGGTTTGCAAGCATTAGCTTCTCTATGACTTTAAGGGCCTCTTGACTAACCGATTTCAATCGGTTTGATTGGTATTATCCAATCGAACCACCATTTCGTTCCAGGCTAAGAAGGCAAATTGATTTTAAAATAATATGCAAGAGCACAAACAAGATAGCCAAGCACTTTGAAATTAAATCAAATTAGAATATTCAGGAGTTAAGTTGCTAAATTAACTAATTGCTCTTCAGTCTTGCAAGGCTAAATATTTCCAAACCTCTTTTAGAACTGGGCACATAGTTAATTCTTATTATAGATCAACTCCTCATGATCCCTAATTTAATGTTAAATTATTTATTCGATTAGTTAATAGCGAAAGATACTATAGTGCTTTGTACTTTAACGTTTGTGGCTCTGAAACAATTGCCAATTAGGCTAAGTTTTCACAGCGTTGTCATAGATGATGACAATGAAATGTGATAGCATTGCTAAAAAAATTTCAAAACAATTAGGTAACTTAAACTTAGGTAGCTAAGTTGACGAGTTGAACCAAAAAACACCACTGTCAGACGAAAATAAAAATAGCTTGACATTTGAAGGCTAAAGAGATGTGGTAATCAAACAATGTAAAAATTCTTCGTGGAACATTTCACCTCTCTTTTCAGTTCAGGGAAGAGTTAAGAAACACGAATGTTACGACATACTCGGATAAAACTTATGATATGCTAGTAGATTTCTCCTTAATTACATGAGTGGCTTGCAGGAATTGACAGCTGATTGGTTGGCGTCTCTTTAGGTCAAGCATTATAAATAAACAAGTGATTCTAGTAATTGGAGTAATTTTATCCCAATATATAAATAAATTTTATGTAGTTATTAAGTGGTAAAATCCACAAACTATGAAAATTCGTGGCGTTCAATCTTTTTTTTCCAATTTGAATATTCTCAAATAGAAAAAATGAGAACCCACTCCATAAGACCCTAAATTTGTTTATTTTAAGGCATAATAAATAATAAAATTCCAAATAAATTGTTTAGTTTGCCGTAAATATAATCTATATTTTCGTTTACTTAATAGCTTCACAAAGCACAGATATGAAAAAGGCCGTAAAATTGTTTACCTACACAAATATGCTATAAACGTCTTCGTTTTATTGAAAAGCAATAATAATTTAAATGTTTGCGAACACAGCTGTGTTGTATTAAGATCGTGAATAGATCATTTCTTCAACTCAATCATCTTTGGAAGAACTCGAGACGACAGAACCAATCATTAGAGGTGAAAAAAAAACCCGACCATAAGCAAAAAGTACCAAAAAAGCTATTTCATTAAACCGGCTGACGAATTGTGAACTTCGCACCTTTGAACATAACTTGGCAGCATACCATTGAATACCAAAAAATCAAAAAGAGAAAAAAACGTTATCAAGGCCTCTGGGATTCCCCATAGTTAATATTCATTGGATTTAATGATGACTAATTTAACTTGCTTCGTGCAATTAAAAATCGAACTTGTTTTGCCATTATTAACAATAGCATAATGTCACTATTGTGTTGGCAGTTAAGAAGAGAAATTACTTTCCAACTGTAGGAGGTAACAACAACTAATCAGTTTGTCTTAACTATCAATACCACAAGTTGTAAATCAATGAAGTAACTTCGAAGTAAGGATTATATGGTACAATTAGATGTGACTAAGATGGCAAGTCTTTTTTGCAGGATATCTCAGCTAGAACAGACTCTAGTGCAAATCTTGGTTTCCCCTCCAATGAATAGGCCCATATCCGCATTTTTTTCAATCGACCATGGGAGGATGAGGCACAATTGTCAGCCAAGAGAATTAAAAGAAGCGAACCTGGAACCACATCAATGTATAAAAGAGGTGTACGATGTAAAGTAAGTACTTCAAAGTAATGGAACGCACTCGTGATTTCAACTCTGCGTACACTATTCGGAAACACGAATGCGGACCTATAACCGCGGTCGAAGGGGTTCAGGATTATTACTTCTTCTCTAAACACTGCTCTTGGTAATAATAAGGCACAATGAGGAAAAAAATATATTCCATTTTACTATATTCCTCCCCCCCCCCACCCCACCCCCTCCCTGCTCCTAAATCAGCTCCACATGTGATGCTGAGTACTGGGAATAATTCAACACTATGCTATGCTGCAAATAAAAAAGAAGTATCCCGTTGAAGCGCTGAAGACCAAATTCTACCTTACTTAATCCGGGGTGTGCGATAGACTTACCTCCACGCGGTGCACCCTGGGCAACGTATACTCATACGGCAAAAAAGTCTATTATCCGGCAGTTGACTTCTGACTTCAAACTACCATGACTCACTTGGTTGTCATTTTCGACCACTTCCACAGTACTCATTTTACCTTTTTCTCCACCTTTTAGCCTGTTTCTTTTACATCTTTAAACCACTCTTCCGTTCCTCCCTATCGACTTTTTTTCACTTTGATGTTCCTCCTCCCCTCTATGAAGCCCGTAGTCAACTAAAGGGCTAATGATACCTATCAAAACGCCTACCATTTGATATAAATAAATACCCTACTTAATCCAATTTCCTTGACATAATAAATTCAAACACAAAAAGTAATTAATAATTGCATTGATCCACTGACAAAAAAGGTAATTATAAGTGGTTGCAACTCTTTATATACAAGTAGGGAATGGCATTGTAAAATTATAACATAAAACCAGAGGTAGAGAAGAAATAACTTACTACTTTTAAATGTCTCAAACGCGATAGGCACATGATAGATGACAAAAAAGAGAATTTTGAGCGAGAAACGAGCGACCTAAAGACAAATAAATGTAGAAAAAAAGGAAGTTAGTAAATATTAATACAAAAAAATATAAATTATGTAATTCCATAAACTACGACTGCAAAAAAAGAAGGTTGGAGATATGTGTTGGACATTGCATAAAAAAAAAGATTTAAATTGAGTTAACTAATGCGAGCTAATTAAGAAGAGCGAATGGATTACTTAAGGTGTCAATTTACCTGAACCTATACTGGTATTTATAATTACTTTAATGGGGTGTGCGATAGACTTACTTCCACGTGGTGCATCCTGGGCAACGTATACTCACACGGTAAAAAAGTCTATTAACTGGCAGTTGACTTCTCACTTCAAACTACCATCACCCCACTGTATGTCATATTCGACTACTTCCACAGTACTCACCTCATCTTTTCTACCTTCGTCTTTGAAACACCCTTCTGTCCCCTCCCAGTAGACTTTTTTTCACTTTGATATTCCT